AAGGGTTACAGTGCAGAAGCAAAGAAGAGTCAAAAATCCCAGTCTCCACCTTTCACTCCCCATTGATATGATGCTCCCAGTTCCCTGCAAATTGACTCTCTAATGACATCAGTATCACTCAAGCACTGTCAACACTTCAGTTTGGTAGAGTCTGTGGGCTAGAGTGTGTCTTGGGAGTTTAAAGAAATAAGAGGTCAAATCCAAAAGGAAACTTCTTTTTGCTAGAGACTGATATATTTTGGAAAGCATGTAGGAGAGTTCACTGGAGTCTTTGCCTGAAGTTTCAGAATTTTAATAAGCAATATTGCTTTCTTTATTTCTTATACGACTGGTGGTATTTCTCTACTACATACCTGATTCTTGTCAGTGGTGGAAACACACGATAACTGTCCCAGCACTACATGTGTCCGTGAAGTCTGTGAGACTGTTCAGCTAATTCTGTGTTTGCAGCTTGGACAATGTTACACAAGAAAAGAGAATTTCTCTGGACTGTAGATTTTTCTCTTCTCTAAAACAAAAAACAGTGAAAGCATGAGAGAACAAAGAGACAGATTCTGCCTTTTGTTCACACATTCATTCACCAAACATTTAATGAGTGAGCAGGGAGTATGTAAAAAAGATACAGATCAGTTCACCAAAAACTTCACAGTAGAGTAATAGAGGCCTAGAAACAATGGACTTTTACAGATTAGGGCAAATGTGTAGTGGGACTATTACAGTATGCCAAAGATCACACTTTCAGGGATACATTCTGCTTGGGAAGGCATTTAGGTCTCCCGAAAGAAGAGACTAATTTGGCTAGCCTTGAACAATGAGACAATTAGTAAGATTTGATCCAGTGGAGCTGCAGGAAAGCAAAAAATAAAAAGGGAGTAAGTGAAGGTTTATGCATGTTTAAGGAACTATGGACACAGATTTTGCTATACAGACTGTATGGGTGATGAGGAATGTCAGTGGGTGGGAGGTGACAGCATGTGGCACAAGATCACTAAGGACACCGAATACCATGCTAAAGTGTTTGGTAGAATGGAAAGTAAAGTGATTGTTTTTCTTTTAAGCTTGAGAATAAAATGACAGGCACAAATGCTGTAATCCAAGATCATTCCTTAAAAGACAATAATTCTTGGTTGGATGTCCCCCTAATGAAAAATAAAGAAAAAGAAATAATGTATCACATCGTCTGTCTCCAGTGCACCGTGGGACCCTAGAGTAAGTCTCCTTAGTGAAGTGTTGGCCTCATCTGTTCGTATTTACCTCTGTGACTGGTGTTTGAATTGGTTTTTGAATCACCCTGGCATTGCTTCGTCTTTCCAGACAGCTATTCTTTTGAAGCATCCTTGCAAGAGATGCTTCTCTACTTATCTAGACAGAGCATACACTTGTCAATCAAAACATAAATAGCACACAAGCAACCCGCATGTCCAGAGGTTGGAGGAGAGACAGGGCTACCTTCCCACTGATGACCTGCCAAGTGTAGCATGACTGGGCTCTTTTTTATCATTCTGAAATCGCAGAGAGGGACCCCAGCATGAAAAGCTCTGTTTCTGCCCTCCATCTTTTATACCCATCTTTTACTATTCTAATAAGAAAACTCTGAAGGGCTTCAAAGACTACAAAATTACTGCACCACAGTTTTTTATCTGCTTTGTGGGGGCAACTGACTGTGCTTTTCCATGGCCTAGCATTCTTCTATATTAGCATTGGATTTTTTTTTTTTTTTTTTTTTTTGCCTCTGCCCCTGCAAATGGCTAGGCCTGAAGTTACTCATTATTCGAATCATTGAGTCCCTTTCTTTAGTAAGCTACAACACTAGAGTTTCTTGGGGTGTGAGAGATGATCTCTGAGGACAGTCAGTGGGTGGCTTCTATTCACAGTGTTGGAATCAGAGCTGTCTTGCTTGCCAAGAGGGAGATTGGAGCTTATGCAAAAGCTTCAATAGGGGTTATACTGGCCCAGATGCATTACTTGGAATGCCTGGGATGATGTGAGTGTGACTCCTTCTGGGCCTCATGCGCTTTCTCCCTTTACAAAGAGTGACTGGCTTGCAGATAGATTTGGCAAAGCAGGGGACATGGAGCACCACCAGGACAAAAGTGTTTCTGGTTCCTATTTGTTTTCCTGTCAGGTGCTGCTGGGAGATCTGTTCCCCCCAAACTACTGCCAACTATGTGAACTCTAGTAATTTGGAAGGGAAAATAAATTACTGGCAAATCCAGCACAGCAAATTGTGGGCTAATAGCGAAAGCCGGAGATGACTCTGTTAACGGTTCTTGTACAGCCTTTTGCCAACTGAGGGAAGAGTCGCATCTGAATCCTGAGAAGCTAGACTTGGGGCAGGGGCAGAAAGTCCAGAGAAACTGCAAAAGATGAAGGTTTTGTTTCCACCACTGAGACTTTTTAAAAAAAACAAAACAAAAACCAAAAAACCAAAAAACAACAAAAACCTAAGCCCAGTGTCTTTTATGGAAAACAAAATGATAAGATCGGACACTCAGGCCGGGCATGGTGGCTCATGCCAGTAATCTGAGCTCTTTGGGAGGCTGAGGCAGGAGGACTGCCTGAGCCCAGGAGTTGGAGACCAGCCTGGGTAATATAGGCTCTGTCTCTATGAAAAAAAAAAAAAATAGCTGGGTATGGTGGTGCATATGTGTAGCCCCAGCAACTCAGGAGGTTGAGGTGAGAGAATCACTTGGGCCCAGGGGGTCAATCAAGGTTTCAGAGAGCTCTGATCACACCAGTGTACTCTGTTCTGGGTGACAGACCAAGACCCTGTCTCAAAAAAAGAAAGAAAGAAAATGATTGAAACTTCAGAAGCCTTAGTGCTTTGAGAAATGGTAGAGAAGAAAAATTTACAGACTATATGGTCACATCTGCCCTTACAATTTCACAGACCTTTCTCGTCAGTTTCTTTGGCAAAGAAGAGAGATGTCACAATAATTCAAATGTGTCATTCTTTGGCTCTATCTCGCAGAAAAGTGGTAAAGTAGGAGTTAGATGCTGATAATGTCAGTTCTCAGGATGCATTGCTGTCATTGACTAACCAACTCTAGCCAATTTTTTCTATGTGTCTTTAGGTGTTGAATATAACTGTGTTATGTTCAAGCACTACATTGTTACATTTGTATATATGTACTTACCTACATACAGATCAGGAATATCTGAATTCTCTTGAACATTTTACTCATAGGGAGAAAAAAACGTTAGTTTCTGTTTGTCAGGGAAACTCTTCACCTGTTATTAGTTTATTCATTCCATCAGTAAATATTTATTGAATACTTACTCTGTGTCCATCACTGTATTAGGTGCTGGGGTTACGGCAGTGAAGAAAACCATCGCAGAGCTTATATTCCAGTGGGAGGAGACAATCAACAAGTATATAAATAAAGTATAGATTTATATGTGTGATGATGGTGATGCATGTTAAGGAGGAAAATAAAGCCGGAAAAAGGAAAAGGGTGTTCCCACTTTAAGTACAGAGGGGAGGAAAACCTCAGTGTTCAGGATTTGCACAAAGATTTGAGGCAAGCAAGGAAGCAGTTCATGTCGGGGAGAGCTTTGCAGGGAGAAGGAATGGTCAGGGCAAAGGCTTGGAGTCTGGAGAGTGCCTGGGCAGTTTGAGTTAGGGCAGGAGTCCAATGTGGCTGGAGCAGCATGAACAAGGAGAGAGTGCTGGTCTGGAGAGGAGATCGCAAGGTTCCCGGCAGGGTAAGCCAGCAGTGGAATGCTGTGTGGGCCTTGCAGGCATTCATAAGGATTTTGGCTTTCATGCTAAGGGGGTGGGAGGCCATGGAGAACATTGTATAACTTCCTTTTACAGGGATCATTCATGCTGCAGGGTGTCAAGGGCAGAACGAGGGAGATGAATTGCAAGAATCTAGGTGAGAGGTGATGGAGGCCTGGCCTGTGGTGGAACATGAAGGTGGGGAGATGGAGTTGGATTGTGAGGATGTTTTTAACCTGTGTGAATGTATCACTGAGGTAGGTATGGTCTGGAGAGGCAGACCTTGGGAAAGGCTGAGGATAATTCCTAGAGGGGAACTCTGCAGAGGACCATCCGCAGTCAAAGCAGTCGAAGGCTGGGCAAATGAGCGATTTGGTCCTCAAGGGGGATCGGGACGCAGTATCCACGACATCGATTTCCACATTTTCTAGTGAGGTAAATAGAGTTAAGATTATTATTCCCATTTTACAGATAAGAAAAATAAAGTTTAAAGAGAATTCACCACTCAAACTCTTAAGGTTTTAAGTGATGCCTCTAAGCTGCAGGCAGGTCTTCTAACATGTCCTGATAACATTATTTTCCCAATCACCTAACTCCCGCCACCCCCACTACCTGCTTGCCCCAGGTGCCTGCATTTCTAAGTGAAGCCCCAGATGATACCGGCAGTGTTGAAGTGCTGACTCTTAGGGTGAGTGTGAATAAATGCCATGCCCTCATGTGTGATCAACCTGTAGATCTTTGTCCACGAACATGGGTGTGAGCTGGCACACACCTGAATGTGTGATGGGCTGTGCACCCAGCCTCTCCTTTCCTCCCTCCTTCCCTCCCTCCCTCCCCTCCTCCCTCTCTCCCCCCTCCCTTCCTTCCTTGACTAGCTTGTAATAATACATTTTGTATAATAATAGTACATTTTGTGCTCAGTAAAGTACTACATGCTCTTTATGCTATTTCCTATGTATTTATTTTTTAAAAATATGAATGAAAAAGCTAGTGCAAGGACCCGACTTGGGGGAAGAGAGTTTTGAGGTGGGAGACATTTGAACAAGCTTCTTCTGAGATGCCCGTGGGACATTTAAGTTGAAAGACACAAGGCTCCAGCTCAGAGGGGCCTATGCGGAGACTGTGTTTGGAGTTTCTGAACATTCTACTCTGAAAATGTGTCTCCTGCACCTGTGACTGATAATCAGTGCATCGGTTTCCTATTTTACCTTATCCTTCCTGTTGCTTCTAAGTGGGTGTGAATGTATCAGGTAAGTTGAACAAACGAGAATCAGGTCTAAAACAAGCACAGCTTTATTTTGCCTCTCATTACCCCATTAAACTTGATGTGGTGGGGCTTTTCTTCCTTCAGTCCTGGATGCATATTCTGGCAATCCCAGAACCTTTCTTTCTATTCTTAGAAAATGTGCATCCCCATGGTGACATAGGTTGCAGGTATAGACTCAATTTCAAACATTTAATGTCCAGTCCAAGCTCTTATTCAGGATGTCTGACTCGGCTTCATGTTAAAGCATCAATCTTCTCCTGGCACCAGCTTGGGTCGGTCTGGAGGCAGGAGAGGAGGGGGTAAAACACCTCATCTCACAAGCTTCTGCTTCCTGCCTTGGGAGGAGGAAGAGAAGGGAGGCTAAGAGAATGGGGCAATTCTTTTTTTTTTTTTTTGGATACATTAAGTTCTGGGGACATGTGCAGAACATGCAGAAATGTTAGATAGATATACACATGCCGTGGTGGTTTGCTGCACCTATCAACCTGTCATCTACATTAGGTATTTCTCCCAATGTGGTTTATACCCTGGGCCTGGCAGATGTCTGGTTCCTTCCGTGGACTGTGTTTGAGCTCCTTGTAGGTTATAGTTGGACTACCTCACCTGGTTTTACCTTAAGAAAGGATAAGCCTCTATTCTGAGTAGCCTTGTGGCTCCTTCCTCAGCCCAGGGGCATTGGTAAGACCCTCACCCTCCATCCCCCAACCAGTCTCCTTCTAAAGACATCTCCTTGCCCTTCCAGGCAGCTCTCCTCGCTAGAACAGGGCCCAAGTACTCACGTGGACTGTCCCTTTACCCTGCCCGGCCCACGCTTGGCGTGGCACAGCAGTGCGGCCCACGCCCCAGCAGTGTGTCAGCCCTTCTCGTGTCTGTGAGATTTCCTGTGCAGGAGTCAGGCTCATCCACAGTCTCTTCAGCTTCCTCAGGGAATGGGGTGCAAGTTCCTCCACTTCAAATTTTCAGGGGATGCAGGCCAAGGTCTCCAAGGAGAGGTAGAAGCTGCGTGCCCCTAGGGAAGTCTCTTCTGCTCCTCCTGTGCTCTCATTTGATAGAGGAGCGATGGGTGATCACCCTCCTTCCATGACATGTTGCTTCCTTGTTCCTCACACCCATGGGTAAAAATACCCTGAAGTGAGAAATCACAAAAGTGACATTAGGAGGCTGCTTAGGCAGCAAGCTTGAGGGAGGTCGTGAAGCTTCTGGAGGAAGGAACAATGTGGCCTCCCCAAAGGAAGGAGCCTCCAGAGAAGCTGGGGAAGGGAGTGAGGAAGCAGTCATTTGTCATTTCTCCCTTTACCTCAAATAACCAGGGATGGGGATTTGGTGGCACTGGCTTCCTGCCTTACTCTGTGCCATGATGTTCCCCAGGCTGGGGAATGCCTGTGCCCCAAGGAGCAGCTGGCCGCGTGGAGAGGCTGTGGGCTGCAGGTGGGCCGAGGTCTTGCCTCCCAGAAGGTCCTTCTCACCCCGCTCACACTTGCTCCTCCAAAGCTGCTAGGTAAAGGGAAGCAGGTCGTTTTGTGGGTGGGAGAACCATTCTCAATTCCAAAAAAAAAAAAAAAAAAAAAAAAAGGAAAGAAAGAAATTTGCTTCTAAGGTTCCAAGAATTTCAGCTTGTAAGTCAGAAATTTCACACCCCAAATGAAATTGGCAGGAAGCCCAGAGCTCGCCATTTTCACTTTAGGTACTAAAATTCTCACATGGATTTACTTAAAGAATAACCAGAGTATTAAAGTGTCTTTTGGGCTTAAGATTTATTTGCATGTGATCCATTGGCATGATTATCTATTTACCAAATAAATTGAGAGTTGGTTTTGTTATTTTGAAGCTGTCTAGGAGTCGTATATTTATTTATTTCTAACGCTTTCTGTGATCAGAAAGCATTGATTTACAAAGAAATTGCATAGTTAATAATCTGTTGGTACATTTTCATAATGTCTTCTTCTAACTGGATGCACTGAATCTTAAGTGGCTAACTCAGTTGAATAAAGTAGTCTTACAAGGTTTAATCCTCTTCCACTGGCGATAGTAACGTTTAGTATTGTGACACTTCTATAGATTGTTGTGGGGCGTATAGAATAAACCTGGATATTGTTATATGTTCTTTGTCTTCTAGTATGTATGTGTGCATGCAGCCCATACATACATGCTCCAAGTACACAACTATGTTTTCACAAATGCAGTTGGTCCTCATTATTTGTGGATTCCCTGTCTGAGAATTTGCCTACTCATTGAAATTCATTTGTAACCTCCAAATCAATATTCCCAGCACTTCAGTCATTTGTGGACATGTACGGAGTGGTAAAAACTTCAAGTCACCGGAGAAGCACATTTCCAGCTGGGGTCAAAGATGGCTGTGCTGCCATTTTGTTTTTGTTCTCATATGGTAGACAAGTGTCCTCTTCACAGTCCGGTTAGTGCTGTGATTTTCGTACTTAAGGGATCTTTGTTGTTACTTTGCTATTCCAAATGGCTCCCAAGTGTAGCGCTGAAGGACTGTTTGACGTTCCGAGAAACAAGAAAACTGTGATGTGCCTCATGGAGAAAATGTTAGAGGAGTTTATACTGCTGTGGGCTATTAGCTCAATATTAATGAATCAGCAACACAGATTAAATAGGGTGTCTTAAATGCACATAAATCAAGGTTATGTATTGACTGGTTAATGAAAATGTGTGACTAGGGGCTTGTAGGAACATCATCCTGTGTTTTCTTTAGGAGCAAAGGTTCAGTGTTCACTAATTCAGAGTTCTCGATGACTTTCTAGAATATGACTCCCATGAGTAACAAGAAGCTACTGTATCTGGTCTTGATTGTTTCCTTAGAAGTGCCACCTCTTGTCACTCTGTCCTGTGCCAGCACTCCCATAGGTAAGCATCAGATACTTCATGGTTAGTGCCCTGCCCGTGAGGCTGGTATCCAGATGCTTTAACTAGCAGCAACATGGCCTTCTGCATAGTTCGCAACATACCTGCTCCTCATTCACCCACCACCAGGCCACCACATGTCACCAGCATCTCATGCATGGACTCCAGGAGAGCCTACTCCCTGGGCTTCTCATCTCCCCAGTCTATTCTCTCCTTGGCAGCAAGAGTCCAGAGTCACACACTACTCCAGGCTCTGCCTATTCTCTGTGCCCTCACCCAAGATCATTGAAGACTCATTTTTTTTTTTTTTTTAAATTTAAGGAGCCTGGGTATGTCACTACAAGGTTTTAAGCCAGGGCTTGGTCATACCTATGTTTTAAAATCACCTCTTTTGCTGCAGAGGAGAGAACAGATACCATGACGTATCGCATGCTTGGCTCTGGGAGTGCTGGCGTAGGACAGGGTGACAAGACATGCTGCTTTCCTGCTCCTATAGTGAGGATGCATGTGAGACTCAGAGGAAGAATAAGATACAGGGATTCCAAGCTCAGTTTCCACGTTTTCATGTAATTCTCCTTTAGAACTGCTTTCTTTGAATAAAGAGGTTTTACTGTTTTTCAGAATGTGCTTTGAAAAAACACACAGGGCTATGCTAATACCGATTATTTCACATTTTACAAAACCATACACATGCAGATATAAAATGTAGGTTTAGAAAATGTTAGTGGCTATTATGAATTTTTATGTGATAGAAAATGATACTATGTATATTCATATCTTCATGTTATAGCACCATTTTCTATTACTCTCTGACATGTTTATAGGATATAAATTATGTTGTTCCATTTTTTTGGAGATTTTTCTTCATGTTGATAAAAATTTTCAAAGGAATTTAATGTTCTGAAAAGTACTTTCCTAATTGCTTGGTGAAAGGTTGACAATAATCCATTTTTTAAAATCTGGAGATTAATGGATCTATACCTGCTTGAGGTAATTTTTACCTTAAAAAAGTCTAAGTTGGCATTTTCGCGACTTTTTAAAAATCACATTATTTATGCTAATGGATGTGTGGGAAATGAATTTGATGCTGCCCAAATACACCTTTTCCTTTTATACTGTAAAACTTTTAAAGTAGGGGCTTCAATGTAGAAACGGCCTGGGGTTGACCAGTGAGACAGATGAGTTTACAAAGTGAAAACATTACTTGAGATCAGAGGTTTCCATTTCCAACCTTTATTTCTCCTGTCAACTTATTAGATATTTATTTAATTATAAAAACCACATAAGGTTCTAGAAACACAAAGACAAATGGAGCATAGTCTTTTCCCTTTTTACTCTACTGTAGGAGATGGACATGTAAACGAACTAAATAATTAATGGTAGTAAGTTATTAAAGTTTCCATAAACTTCTATAAGAACACTGAGATAGAAAAAAAAAATTAGAAAAATTATCCAGATGAAAGGGCCACTGAAGGTTGGGAAGAAAAGTCAGGATTGGCCAGACAGATGGGACTGCATGTGCCAGAGCAGACAGGGATCAGAACACGCATTCTATTTGGAGAACTGCAAGAATTCGAAGGATGGTCAGGAGTGTGTGGAGGAAATGAAAATCTCTTATTAAAAGGCTCTTTCATTTCCAGAGTCCACATTTTGGCATAGAAAACCTTGTTGGGTATGCAAGGAGAGACAATAAGAATCAACTACTTGATATCATTCTCTTTGATATAAATGAATCAGACAATGAATAGTGTTGACAGTAGAAGAATGCATTTGGATTAAAATCTGATACTTGCTGGGATGTAGATGAAATATAAGGATCTGAGTTTCTTGAGAGGTTGCTTTCAAGGTTTTGATTAACCTGAAACATCTTCTGTAAATGGCTTATTTTCTTTCTCTTTATTTTCTTCTACAAGTTCAGACATAAAAGATCAATACTTTACCTTCTTCTTTTAGTTGTAAAAATAAGATTCTGTTGGATTTGACAGGCGAGAGGAAGCCAAGCTTAGACACTTTCTTTCTAAATTCCTGTTCAGATTAATGTCAATATATTCTTATAATCTAAGAATTAATTTTCCCTAGAAATAATTTTTTGCTATTTTAAAAATATGATAACTGATTCCAAAGTTTCTCATATATATTTTCAACTTCAGAATCACTTTCCAGGAGAAAGTCATTTGTCTACAAGAAGATTTCTGAAATCAAGCCTTCAATAATAAATAAATAAATAAATAAATAATAAAATAAGCTTGTAAACAGCTTACTTTAAACAGAATATTTCATAGAAAGCAATGTTAAGTATTAACTAAACCATATTAAATAACCATTTAAATGCCTGCCCTGATTATAAAATTTTAAAGATTTTAAAATTGATATCACGAAGAGCATAGGTCTCCTTACATGACCAAAAACAACATTCTATTATCACCAGGTTTATTAGCCTAAAAGGTTTTAGGCCTTCTTTTCCAAATTGGATTGTGATCAAACTCTTAAATAAATGAAACATCTTTTTTTTCTCTCTCTCTTCTTTAAGCTGTTCTGACTCTGAAGGGCTTGGTTTCCTTGGGTTGGAGCTGTTTCAACATCCTGAAATGAAACAACTAATTAAAGTGTTTTTGTTTTTGGCTGGAAGTCTTTCTTTTTCTCTGGCTGGAGTTCTGTCTTCTTTAGTTAAAGCCACTTCAGCATATTCCCATTTGTAAATTTCAGTGTGGAAAATACATTGGTTTGAGCAATGACAAAAAAAAAAAAAAATGAATGAAGCATTTGACCATTGATCATCTCCTTTGCTTTGCCTGATACCAAGGGGGATATGTGCCAAGAATCCATCGTCACTTTCTCACAACTTTATATGAATCAGGCCCTGTAATAAAATGTTTCCTTATGTGACTATTGACTATATATAATATTTTCTGCCCTATGTTTATAAGGGCTTGTTGAGTTTAGAAAAAAATAGTTTATTTTATCAATATTTTTAAAGAGCCCATATTTGCCAGGTTTTGAGGCTGTAATGCACTTAGATCTGATTTTTTTCTGTTTATGATTTGCCCTCCCCAGGACACTGTAACCTCCTTTACTGAAGGCCTATGACTTTCTTGCTCCCTATTGAATCACTCAAGTAGGGCAGAGTGTCTGATTCATGGTTAAGCACTAAATAAATATTACCTGAATGAATGAATGGGCTGAATAAGAATAGTTTCTGCATTCTAAACAACACTGCAGTATATAAAGTTATAATCTATTGATCTAAGAACTAACAGAAAAATGCATGCCTAAGCATTACTTTGAGGAAGAAATAAGAGCTCCCTTCAAGGCCTGGGAGAAAGGGAGAGGGAAATATATGCTCAAAGGAAACCATGCACTTTATGGCCTGCTCAATTTGAGGTATTTGTAGGTCATGAGAAAGAGATTCCCAGTGGGTTTGGAGCTCAAGATAAAGTCTTCTAATTAAGCTCCTTGCTTAATCATACATATCTGATTATTATATATGAAAATATTATATATGTATATAA